TATTTTAATGCCGAGAATATATGATTTTGGACTACGAATTACCCCATATACTCCATAAGATGATTTCCGTTATTCTAACAAACCCTATGCTGAATATGTCGGTCAGTGTATGAGTTATGCATTAATAAAATTGCTTGAAAAATGTTCTGGAATATACCTGAACAATGTCAAAAGTTCGTGAAATCAGCCCAAATCTTTACTGCACACAATATATCCTAAATAATGATTTTCGACTTCCCACCTGTCTTTAAACTGTTTAGGTTAGTCAAAATGTGAGATATTTTAATACATTGAAGTGTACAAGCTTTCTTAAAAATGATGTGGTCTAGCGCTGAATTAGGATGCAATTGGTCTATACGTTGGTTAAAACTTCATATCCTCAATATAATCAATTTCGATCTTCTGGTTGACGTTTAGCGCAATTTTCGCTGATGGGGAGAAAAATATAGTTATAAAACTAATTGAATTTATAACCAATATAATTGGTAATATAAGTTAATAAGATACAAATTTCATTATAAACCATTCAATTATGGCGAAAAAAAATTGTTTAAATACAATTTTTCCAACACCTGAAGGTTTTTCCCCGGATTTGATCCTTACAAATTGCTCGATTACATCCCACCTTAGGCTTTTCTCACTTGTTTTTTTTTTTGCATGTTTAATACCAAGTCATGTTATATGGCACCGAGTTTCATTAAAATTTCTTAGTTCAATAATGGATTTAGTTGTTACAATAAATCGTTTTATATCTCTATTTGGCTTGCAATCATCTATGTACATAATATTTTGATTTATAACAGTTGGCTTGATGTTACAGTAAATATTTCGCGTATGATATCTCAATAAAACTAAATGAAATTTTAAGTATTGACAAGGTTAATTTGATTTCAAAAATTGCAACATTGCGGTTTTCTTTAATAACAAGCATTTAATTTATATGAAATATTTTTTTTAAGGATTTGCAAATATCTTAAAATATTCCTCAGGCCTTTTAAACTTACAAATGTCAGATTATCTAATATTTTTCCAGTACTACTTATGAAATTTTAAAATATTAATAGAATTAGTTAATGATTTCTTTCTGTAAATAAGTTAAATATTGAAATGTAAATTTTGTTTATTTTTCATTTATTATTCAGTTAAATATATAGCATTAATAATTCTATGTTTACTTTTATAAATATAGTTCGCTACTCACAATTTAAATGAGTAAAAATTATCGATTAGTGTGCCACTGCAGTTCCCCTGGCATTATAGTGTAATTAAAAAAGTCAATGTATATATTTACGCTCACTTGTAAAAATTAGCAAGCATTCATCAATTAACCCATAAACTGTCACAAACTTTTTGGAATCGCCATCTGAGTATATTGCCTCATCTTGCCTACTTGCGTAGTTCCAGCCTCATCTTTGGTATTGCACTGTAATGTTAATTTAATTCAATCATGTTAAAGCGATTGAATGATATGTATCGGGAACGAAAACAGTGCTACATAAAGGGTGTTTTTTAGACATGTAGTTTTTAAGAAGAAATAAAACGCTGCCATTTTAAAATGGCTTCGAACAAGTAACCGCTACAGCTAGCTCGAATAAATTAAGGCCGAGCGGCCCAATATTCGACCTTGGGGCCGAATGTTCTCATCCAAGGCGTCAGTTGTCTCGGCCATATCTACGTAGACAATAGACTTCACATAACACTAGATAATGTGCTCATCAAAAGTTTAATTCAATACATTGGTTGTTTCGTTGACTGTAGGGCATTTAGCGCCGTTTTGTTTGAACCAAAGTTCGTCCGCATCAACATCCGCCAATTCAGGCGCGAAAAAGTTATTCGTCATGATTCTATAGCGTTCCCCATTGACTGTAACATTATGGCCGACTTCAGTTTTGAAGGAATATGGGACAATGATTCCGTTTGCCCATAGATCACATCAAACAGTGACATTTTGAGGATGTAACGACGTCTAAACAATGGCTTGTGGATTATCGACAGCGAAATCGATTAATGATTGTTCGAATTACTGACTCTACTGGGACTTATGTCGACTGAATTTTCAAATTCAAGACATTTTTATAAAATTAGTTTTAGCTTAAACAGCCATTGGCTATTTTTCACCTGATGATTAGCATAGCTTCAATGAAAATTCATTTGATCAGCATTCCTGTACTTTAAAGATCGAATGCTGTTTATGACAATCACACATATTATACATATTCAGTGCACATCTGCGTTTGGTTGAGCACTTACAGCTGCATTTTGTGCTTTATATATACGAAACAAGTAAAAAACGTAAACGCACTTAACGACCGGCATTTAATCAATTAATGCAGTAATAACGAAATAGCGATTGTCATTCGGTCCATCGTTTTGTAGGTCAGCGGCTTTGTCGGTGTTGTGACATTCTGGCACAGCCACTCAATTTAGTGTCAGCGCCACTGGATTATTCCGCACGTAAATTGTAAGCACGTGCACATGAATTCCTATAATCGCTGCTCACAGATTCGACCTCTTTTCGAATCCGCACCGAACATCACATATGTTCCAATTTTTATTTTAAATTTCGCACTCACACTTTTTTACTTCTGCATGCTCCAAGTTCATGAATGACAACGATCATGTCGCCAACGTCATTAATCCGCGATGCATCGGTGTCCAATCTAGACTCAAATGGTTGAAACCTTTGAAAATTTAATTCAACATATTGATCGACGCGTTTTGCAGTCGAGACAGTCATATGTATAATGCAACTACTACTATTACAGCGTTATTTACTTTTAATTTAATTTCCACTATCAAACATTATTCCTATGCACCATTCATCGTCAGTTTCTTCTCTTCGCTGTTCACTTTCCATTAACCCAGTTTTGCTTCTGGGTATGTACGACAATTTTGCATCTCTCAATTGGACAAGTTCAACGCGAGTTGCCCTTTAGAACTCAAGATTACTATTCGCGACAGCAACTGCCGTTGAATGCGCGAGATGGAGGCAGCTGAAATTAAATTTACCCATTATGTGTAACTTGTACTCACACCCGTAACGGTGGCGAATGTCTAAGATGTCATATGCGTGCCCAAGCCAGTTAAATAGGCTACACAGAACGTCTGACAAGCTTGTAATTTGCAGGCAGCGGAATTAAGTTGCAACATGGAGATCATGTAAGTTTTCTATCTGTAAAGGTACGGAGGTTTCGAATAAAACATCATGCAAGTTTTGAAAGTGAGATCATTTAGAAAGCCTACTGTATTCCTTTTAGAATTTTCGCTTAAGCGTATTGTTTGCAGAATTCTATAATAAAAATTCAATATTACACGAAACATTCGACCCCAGATGCACTAAAGTACCTCACATACCGACGGAGATCTTTATATCGAGTAAACGAAGTATAGTAATTCATGAATTTCATCAAATCACAGTGTGTACTTTGTAATACTCTTACTAAATTTAATCAATATGTAGCCACTCTAACCAATAATAACGGTGCAAAGTTAAACATTAAACCTATATCATCTACTGATCGGTATTAGTATGTATAATCTAAATCCAACTGTTTGTACAAAAATGTCACATTCGCTTTACAGAAGATATGGACTAAGGGGTAGATTGGAACAAGGTACAATACCTAGTAAATAAGATTTGGTTCGAAAAAATCGAGTACTCACTAAGATTTATAATATTTTTAAAAATAGATGTTACAATTCGCACTATCTTGCCTTACAGAGCTTCAGCGCACCACTTTTTACCAAAATATTTTTCGCATTTTCTGTAATTCACTTTCAAGTGAATTTCTAGCAAATCTACTTTCAATCCGACATCTAGTGTTCTATATTTCACTTTCACTATTTAATTTCCAATTTTCAAAATGAATTCCGAGTGGAAATGAGTGTTCTGAAAAACAAATTCACAAGAAAATATTCTGTTGTTAGTCACTTCATCATCGATTCATGGAAGCTCATAGGGACATTGACCGAGGCTTTGTGAAGAGTGACTAAAATAAAGTCGATGCGCTTTGGAAGAAATTGGTTTCATACCATAGCTTAACGTAAAGGGTGTTTCTTTGCAACATGTGAAGTCTCTCAACTAAAGGAAACGTGGAGCGTAACCGATCCATGGTTGCTCGAATTACCGGCTCTGCTGGGCGATTATGTCGACCGAGTACTCGTCGCAACGCGAATACTGCGTCGCGCGAACTGAACCATTGTTCCGGAGTAGATTAATTTTGAGGTATTGTTGTTCATGTTCATTAAAAAATGGCAAATCAAACAGTATAAATTTAGTAACAAAAAAGTATTACCACATTGAAAACCACATATTTATCTACAAAAAACAGCCGTTACATGGTCCACCAGAAAAATATAATATTATATTCATTAACGCACTCGTTTTTTAATTATTATTTTGATGTATTATATTTTGTTTTTGGAATATTTTGAAAGCTTGCATTAATTTGTATAAAGGAAAAAAAAACGAGAACGAAAATGAAATAATTTGTTATTTTTCCGAACACCAAAACCAAATTCATTTAGTTCGGATTCCAGAACCTACCTGTATATCTCAGTTTTTATATTATTTTATATAATAGTATTGTTCACCTAACGATTGTTTTTAATACATGAAACTAAACTAAATAAATGATGTCTGTTGTTGCATACATATGAAAACAGAGAAACTTGCTTCGCTCGCATGCTCAAGGAGTGGGCAAAGCTACTCTAAGCCAAGCTATTTTACCTCTAAAAGATCTTGAAATTCCGATTCTCGAAATGCCTTTAACATAAATGAACATATACCCAGTGTACTTAAGATAGTCGCTTTGGTATATCACATATGAGTATATGTGTCTCACTTGAGTTAATTAGGTTGATTTGAATATAAATATCTCGGAAACGAAACAAATTGTTGTAATGTTACTGGGTGAGTCTATAATAATTAATACATATTAATAAAATACTAAGTATGATTGTAATTCGTTTACGACTTTCCTTTTAGAATTTTCGTGCTTCGATCCTTGCAAATTGCGAGAGTATAAAATATTTGATTATACCCAAACTTAGCCCTCCCTTACTTATTAATAATGGTTAGTCTTAAATTCAAGAACCAAGTCGTCTCCTCATTCTGATAACTTTACCATACATATATGTATATATCTCACAAATTGTTTAAGGAGTTACAAACAACCTCAGAATGGCCAATGGAATGGGTGCCAGAATCTATTGCTCCGGGCTGGATCTCAGGCAACCATTCAAGCTTCCGGAATACTGCAAAATCTTCCAGGCGGAAGTCCTTGCAGTCAGGAAAGTGGCGGAAATAGATAACAACACAGGTAACAACATAAAAAGGATAAATATATATGTCGATGGCCAGGTTGCAATCAAGTCAATAATCTCGCAAAGCGGCTGCATATATACTGGGTTCCAGGCCACAAAGGGATTCCGGGAAACGAAATAGCTGATGAGATTGTCAAAAGTGCCATCCGTCTGGCTACCGAGAAAAAGTGCAGCAAATACGGTCAAACGTCACTAAAACGATATACAATAAAATTTAAAAAAAGGGCTGACAGGCGGATCAGGACAAGATGGAAAGCCTTAAGTACGAGCAGGATCGCAAAGATCATGTGCAAGAGCCCTGAAGAAAAACTCGCATGATTTTTACAACTTATTGGCATCACATTCGAACCGGCTGGGTATAAGTAACGACGATTCATGTAGAAAATGCAGAGAAGCAGGTATGAGCGGGACGCTGGAACGCCTCCTTATGCCACTGTCCTACACTATCTAAAACTCGTCTAATATATCTATTAAATTAATTAAATTAAAGTTCGCAAAAAGCGTTGACGTCCTGAATACTTCACCTCAAATTGAACAGAACCTTCATCTGGCATTACTAAGAACCATTTGGAATCTAATTTAGAAACAGCCAAATTGGACGTAAAAATTTGTTTAAAATGTGTTCGTTACATCATACAATCTAGTATTGATTATACAGAAGCTAAAATTTAATTCATGATTCCTTTCGATTTAAAATGTTTCTCTCCAGACAAAATGAAAAATGCATCAAGCAACTTGAACAGAAGCAACCTGCGAGAGCAGCCACCTTTATCACGTGTATACGACAACTTCCGCTAAGTGAACGGCTACGCATGCTTTTTTATATGCACACAAAGCTTTTGTTAGAAAGTGTAGAAGATCCGTACCCCCATTCGCAAAATGCACCCCGCATACATAGATCCCACATATTGTGGCAGCGGGATGGGAGCCAGACAGATTAACCTTGACTTTCACTTTCGCAACCAACCGGAGCAAAGTCGGCGACGTCAGGATATGACGTCGCAACGAGTGGGCCTGCTGATGCCGCGGACGCAGCAAACAACTATCATTTGATGTTACAGCTACGGTAGTGCTGTTGTTGTTCGGATACCGTCATCACTGCATTTGTTGTTGTTATATCAAAGGATAACACTGCTACTGATTCCAAAACATACTTATTGTACATTATGTTATTTAATATGTAGGCTTGTTTGCTCCTAAGACAGACATTCATATATTTGCACCATTATTGTGTGGATGTGTGTGTGTGGGTATTAGATTTGGCATCAACGGGCGGGTAGCAACACCAATTTTATTGTAAGGGTGGACGAACCATTTGCCAGCCAACTTTGCTACGCCAACTTTTTGATATGCCACACGTTGCTCGTCCTTGACGTACAACTGCCACTGATCCGACTAGACGTGTTACTGTTTGGTGCACTACAGCTGCCACCTTAAGGGGTGGTTGGAAATTTTTGAATAATTCATAACAGCGAGCAGGACATTCAAAACACGCGATGTAACCTGAATGCCAAATAAGCTATTGGAGGTGTGTACTTGTTCACATATGTATTAACATATTTACATACATACAGACCCACATATACTTAAACAATATATACAAGTGTATGGAATGATAACACACATTAACTACGCAGACATACATATACATATGTACAATAAATGGTACATACATATATATGCATAGGAATCATAATCCGAAGTTATCACCGACCTAAAGTTTTTCTAGTTTCACACCGTTAGAAAGTGGGGTCCACTTCAACAAACCCAATATAGGTCTGCAAGTAAGCATATAAGTCCCTGTATATATACTACTCGTATACTATATACATAGACGGTTCACAGTAAATAAACACATCACATATTTCAACATCATTTTGTCTTTTTATACGCATAACTGTATACTGGAGTGCATTCGCATGCACCAACCTTGCCATTCCAAGCTCTTCAAAAGAGAATATTGGATAATCCATGTAATCGGACGTTAAAATTTTAGCATAATCTAAAGTAAAACCAATGACTTTTTTGACGGTAAAATAAGAAAGAGGCGAAGTTTCTTCGAGACTAGTTCAGTAAATTTTCGGAAGGAATTTACAAAGAGATAAATATAAAAAAATTAGTAAACACCGGTCTACACAAAGTACAAGCAAGTAAGTACTTAGAAATATATAGAACAACAATTTAATGAAATCAACAACGGTAATATCTCCGGTTTACTTATTGATTTTTTGAGTTAATTAAAAACAAAATGTTTCTCAAGCATGGGAATATGTAAAATATTCATATTAAGCATTTTGTATAACGTTCAAAATACAATATTTATGTTTACTACTTTTGAAATTTTCGATCTGGCATCACTCACTTTCTGGAGCAACCACTTACATACCATACAAAATGACCGCATGCGCATTAGAGGTTGACTTGCATTTCAGTTTTCCCTAAAAGAAGCAAACTTTTATTCATACAGACATCCGCACTATCATTCTAGAGAAGCAACAGTCGGTAGTAACTAACTGGAATTCCAACTCACACAGTGAATATTCTCGCCTGGAAGGAGGTCGTGTTTTGCATGCGCGTGACGTTTCATACCCCATCAACCGACCATGCATCAAGTTGATCTGACGTTGTACGTTGCACAGATTTAGTCCATTTCAGATTGAATCTAGTTCTTTCCATTCTAAGTACTATTCTATGACTTATTGCAAAAATATTAAAACCTAATTCGTAGTGATGTTGAGTTTTCGCATGTGTTGAACTGATTAAAAAAATTATATCTATATATTGAAGTTACTGCTAGTTTTTGAATAAAATCGTACCCAAAATTACTTTGATGTGGTTGTTAATTTGTATACTAGTTTTATAGATAGATATACTTATGGAGTTTTATAAATGGTATATATGGCCGGTCGATTGGGCACCAAGGTCGTGTGATATTACATCGTTAGACTTTTTCCTGTGGAAATATGTAAAGTCTAAAGTCTGTGTGAACAATCCCGCTTCGATTCAGGCCTTGGAGCGAAACATCACGCGTGTCATTCGCCAATTACCAGTCGAAATGCTTGAACGAGTCATCGAAACTTGGACTCAATGACTGAACCATCTGAGACGTAGATGCATTCAATATTTGAAAGAGATAAATGCCAAAAAATGTTCTTTCGAATGATAATAAACATTCCTCATTAAACTTGAAATTTCTGTTTTTTTTTGTGTTTGTTTTTTTGTAAAGTAGGGAACCTTGAAATGGATTAAGCAATATCGACCGAACTTGCTGAGCGAATTAACCTTCCCCAACAGTGCAAGGTCTAGTATTGAAGTTCGGAGAGAACATTTTATGATATTGTGCCTACAATTGGTAAAATTGGGACAATGCCTGCCCTAGACCCAAAACACCCAATATAAAGATTTAAGAACTTCCGGTTGACTTTATACCTCATACATTGGTCAATCTACGAATATGTTTTCCTAGTGATATTATATGGTAATGCCAAAAATGGATAAAATCGAGTCAATACAACCTCTAGCCCCATTTGCCCAATATAAAGATTTCAAATTTCCTGTTGAGTTTGTACCTTATATATCAGTAAATATGTATGAAAATATATCAAAATTGGGCTTATTCATCAAAACTTACCAATCATACAAAAATTTTTATACATTAAATATATTAAAGTGAATTTGAATAAAATTGGTCAACGCACTATTTTTAGTAGACTTTATGCCGCATGAGCCGATCAGAGAAATTCCGTGGAAACACATTAGTAGCTGGGAGCCGATTCTGGTGAATACGGTGGATGCTCAAGCAATTCGTACTTTGATTCGTTAAATTTTTTCATTGTTAAAACACCTTTGTGAACACCAGATGCATTGTCTTGATGAAAAATAGTTTTATTTTGCTGCAAACCTTTTCTCACGAATTTTTCATCCAGCTGATCCAAAATGCTGGAATAATATTCAAAGTTGATCGTTTTACCTTTCTGCAGATAATCACAAACCAACAAAATTCCTTTTGCATCCCAAAAAACTGATGCCATAACCTTTTTTGCTGATCGTTGTGACTTCACCTGCTTTAGAGCTGAACAACCAGCTTTAGTCCATTGTAAACGTTCTTGTTTTACAAGAAATTAGGATTATGGTGGTAGATCCAAATCTCATCCATAGTTATAAAACGATGCAAGAAATCGGTTTTATTCTGCTTACACTGCAGCACTAACTTTCCAAACAGCTTCTTCATATGTAATTAGCTATGGAAAATATGAAGTACTCGTCCGTCTGATATGCCTATGTCATTAGCAATGTGGTTGCGGTTTTTGGTCGTCCTTCGCGTGATCTTTAAAACCTAATACGACCACGTAAATTCCCCTGTCCAAAATTCAACAGTGCGTTTTGAAGGTGAAGACTCTTTATACACTTTTAACAATTGTTCATAAATTTCCTTTGTTTTTACACCTTTCAAAACAAAGAACCTAATCACTGCGCGATATTCAATTTTTTCCATATTAAAAAAATACTCTGACAACGTTAACTTCAAATGGCTTGTAAACAAAGAATTCAATGACAGAATGACTTGTAACTTTGCATGTGTTCTAACGACAGATGTACCAACTTGACCAAAAATAAATTGGAGCTAGTAGTGATATTTCTTGGTGAGACCAACCAACTTTTCAACCAACCTGTACTTGAGTAATGTCAGACCTTCTCATAGCCCAAATACGCCCGATATAAAGATTTCCGACTTTCTAGCTGACATTAAGCCGTTTATGTTGATCAATATAAAATGAATGATATTTTAGTGTTTTCATAAACATAAAGTGGTTTAGCGCTGAGTATGAATGAATCGGTCTACACCGTGTTTTAGGCCCCTTATTTCTAGTAAAATGAATTTTGTTTCTCTGGTCGATTTTTTCCTCATATGCACAATATGTATAATATTTTAAATTTAATATTATGTGTATGTATTCAGAGTGTCGCCACATGTTTAGAGGTTATCATTCTAATAAACTACCAAAATAAATGAGAAACAAATATATGCTCATCAAGCATAATGGGTTTGAGAAAGCTTCCACTTCTATAAATTTTAGGTAAGATCTGTCGCCTGTCCTAAAAATTGTTTTGCATTAATAAAAGCTCTTTAATATGAATATCGAACTAATGTCTCATTGTCAGCTTAAATGAAAACTAATTTTCAATAACTCGATAAAATCGAATCAAAATGAATTATAACATAAATTAACATAAATGTTTTGTCACAAGTCGGATATGATTGTATTGGATTCTTATAATACGATAACTGCAAACTTTTCCAATGTATTAAGAAGTTATTTAGAAATAATCTCAATAATAAGTAACAAATTATTCATTTATACACAATAAGGAAGTTACGGGACTTAACATTAAATATTCATAGCAAATATATTACAAATAGCGTTGTGCTGTTTATTTTATGGAGATATAAACCATTTCGATACAGATAGACTCACAGATGTCTCACCTGCTGCTTATTTTGATTTCAAGTCAATCGCAGGTAGCGTTAAAGTATATGGTACTTACCGGTTATTAAAAATTCTTATTGAAGTGGGGCCAGTTTGTCAGAATATACCACCAATCCATAATAATTTCGATTTGTGTACTCTATTGTGTCCGAACTTAGTCCGCTTTAGTTTTTTCACGTATGTACATATATGTGTAATGGCATTATGTTCCATATTATATATATTGTATATTTAGTAATTATATTAATTTATGAGTACATACGTATGAATAGACCAATGCGCAGAGATGTCTGTATATAAATACATGAATGTAAAATTCTCGAAAGAGTTTTGCACCTTAAACGAGGTGAATGACCCTAGACGGTATTATTCAGCAGCTTTCAAATGTTGTTGCAGCTGAATGCATCAGGACACAGGGCTGCGCAAACAGCAACAGCAGCTATCTTCTCAGTACATTATAAGTTACTGGGAGAGCAGCGCTGACAGGAGCAGTTCTATACTTTGAAATAATATTTACATATGCATATGTTATGTGTCTATACCCCATGAAGCCCTTTCAGACATGCGTGTTTGATAGCATCGTGAAATAATGCATACATACATACTTACGTATCTGCTTTTTTGTACTTTTCTCGCAAGAAACTGATTTTTGAGAGTGTCATTCTTGACGATCCCTGCGTCACTTGACACTTAATTCCACGTTGATACAAGTCTACTCTATATGTGCACATCAGGTACATCTTCATATGGGCATACATAACTATGCATATGGAAATAAACACGCAATGCACCTAACTGCAAATGTGGACAAGGATAATGGCGTTGTATGTGACTGCGAGCGTCTGAAAGGATTGTTTCTTACTACATTGCTCAGATATCTTTGTACGGAGATTTTATTATTGTGTTAATCGTGTTTATTGCTCAAAGAAATATTAAAACTGCAATTGACAGTTGCACTCTACAGTTGGCATTGTCACAAAAACGCGTAGTTATGATGTAAGCAGTTAAGTCCTGGGAAATAAATTCAAGTAGGCGGGGATAGTTTTGTACCATTCTTTTATGATTACGATGTAAAGAGTTAGGTCCTGAGAAATAAATTCAAATAGGCGAAAAGGTAGTTTTGTTATATTATTGTATTGAAAACATTTCGCAGAATATTTCTACCCTGCACAGGGTATATTAAGTTTAACACAATGTTTGTAATACTCAGAAAAAACGTAGAAGACCGTATAAAATATAACGTGGGTGATCCAAGTAGAGGTACTTTTTTGACTACGTGTGAGTCCTGTCAAGCTGCCATTTTATTTTTATTATGGTAAGACTTTGAACAATGTTTACAAATCGTTCAACTTCATTACGAAAATTCACGATCTGTAAAGAATGTGTTTCGCGCTCTTCGCTCAACTTATGGTCAACATAATCGGCCTAAGGAGCGTACTATTTACAAAACCATCATCCATCTTAAGACCCAGCATTCATTATTGGATAATACTTGACCGAACAGACCATGTCTTGCATTCAGTGCAGAAAATATAGCGGCCGTAGCTGAGGGTGTACACGAAGACCGTGGAGAGTCAATTTGGCGCCGTTCGCAGCAACTCGGTCTGACGTATGGAACGACTTGGCGCATTTTACGTTGAAATCTTAAATTGAAAGCGTACAAAATCCGACGTTTTCGAGCCAAATTTTGTTGAGCGATGAGCCTCATTCCTGTCTCAATTAATATGTAAACAAGCAAAATTGCCACATTTAGGACGAAGAGCAACCTGAAGACAGAGCTGCCATTTCATCCACAAAAAACAATGATTTGATGTGGTTTATGAGCCGGTGAAATCAGCGGTCCATATTTCTTCCAAAAGGATGACGGTGAGAACGTAACCGTCAATGTCGACCGTTGTCGCCCTATTATAACCGACTATTTGATGCCTGAAATTGAAGCTCGTGATCTCTGCGACATTTGGTTTCAACAAGTCGGCGCCACTTCCCACACATCGCATCAATAAATGGATTTATTGAGAGAACACTTCGGTGAGCAGATAATTTCACGTTTTAGGCCGGTCGATTGGCACCAAGGTTGTGTGATATTACATCGTTAGACTTTTTCCTGTGGAAATATGTAAAGTCTAAAGTCTGTGTGGACAATCCCGCTTCGATTCAAGCCTTGGAGCGAAACATCACACGTCTCATTTGCCAATTACCAGTCGAAATGCTCGAACGAGTCATCGAAAATTGTACTCAACGAATGAACCATCTGAGACTTTGCCACGACCACATTTGAAACAGATAATCTTCAAAAAATAGATGCCAAAGAGTGTTCTTTCGAATGATAGTAAACA